TATTTTGTATCTTGTCCACAGACGTCGTTTGCTCAATATCGATATATTGTGAAAATGATCTTCCTCTTTTGCATGAAATATAAAACTATATTTTTTGAGATATTTTCTTTCAAACAATGAAGTTTGAACATGAAAACAAACAAATCTTTCTAAATAGTTTTAACGCAGCCTACAACCACCAATTTGAAACTGTGTTGTTCAACTGTGGTCATTCACGATGCCTCCTCTGTTTCCACTAACGTTACGTTAAAGAAGTCGCACCGCAAAAGTCTCTTCATCTACGATCTTTGCATCTATATGGTGTTTCATTTGTTACCTATTAGACGGTTTGGTGCCATGACTCTCTTACTTACCTCCAATTTACTTACGTACAATAAGAATAGTACGTTTACCGAGAGGAAGTGAATGAATGCAACAGATCAGAGTGACAGAGCATTTTACGAACATCACAAGGAGAACGAGACGCGACCTGTTGCACTTAATTCTAATTCAAACAGATTGTTACGGATCTATGTTTGTTTTCTTATTTTTAATTTGGATAAAACACAACTGCATCATTTGAAATGTCTAAAAAAACACATGTTTTTCCACATGGCTACAGCCCTGCTAACAGCTAGCTACAGGCTGGAGCTAACCTGAGTTAACATACATGCTAATGTGGCCACGCTAACCACACACACACACACACACAGATACAGATACACAAGTGAAAAGAGAGAGAGACGCAGGGTATTGAATGACAACATGACGAAAGCAGCAAACACACAGACATGAAAACCGGCTTTGATGGTTTATGAGGACACGTACACACATACACATGTTTTATGAGGACACGTGTCCTCATAAAACATGTGTGTGTGTATCTGTGTGTGTGTTTTAGCAGCTGCATGCGAGCGGTCTGCTCTTACCTTGGTGGTGACAATGCAGAGGCAGTCCATATCCACACACACACACACACTCACACACACACACACTCACACACACACATTTTCACACACACTCACACACTCATGCTTGATGCCTCTCTCTCTCTCTCTCTCTCTCTCTCTCTCTCTCTCTCTCTTTGTCGCCCTCCCCCTCTCTCTCTCCTCGTCCGTCTGTCTGTCTGTCCTCGCTTGCCCGCTCGCCCTCTCTATCCTCTGTCTGCCAGCACCGGGCGAGCGAGGGGGGGGGGGACAGATGAGGAAGACTGGTGTTTTTTTTGGAGGGGGGGTGGGGGGGGGGTGTACCTCCTTGAGTCACTCGCTGGTTGATGTGAGGAGGAGGTGGGGGTTGGGCTCCTGTTGCCATGGTGTTATGCATCTGTTGCTCCGGTAATGCTGCTGCAGCTGTTGCTAGGTAACAGCGATGGGTGTTGCCATGTGCATTAGAGATGTGAGAGTGTGTTGTGTGTGTGTGTGTGTGTGTGTGTGTGTGTGTGTGTTCTTACCTGCCCAGGTGTGTGCGGTGGGCTCGTCGTCTGGTTCTCACAGACCGTCAACTCGTAGAACTCCTGTATGTCTGTACACACACACACACACACACACACACACACGTACACACACACACGCACACACATACACACATACACACACACTCACATTAGTTCTCCGTTTTTAGTCTTGGACCAATCATATCGCTTCTTCATCAGTAATGGAATGTTACAAAGTACAATTACACAATTACTGTACGAATTAGATGTACTTTTACTTTATTTGAATCTTTCTACTTCACTACATTAATCTGACAGCTTTAGTTCATTAATTTGTTAATGTTCATTTATTAGTGATAACGTTGGTAATCTTAGTGTTTTATTTTTGATGTTATTCATTTTAATGTATAAGTAACAATGTGAATACATCAGTAATAATGTTAATGTGTTAGTAATAATATGAATAATGTGAATGTTTTTGTAACAATGTTAATATTGTTAATGTCTTAGTAATAATAATATATTAGTAATAATGTTAATAATGTTAATATATCAGTAATAATGTAATGTTAATTTATTAATTTATTAATACTGTTACTGTTAGTAATATTATGAATAATGTTGATAGTAACAATGTTAATAATTTAAATGTTTTAGTAATCAAGTTAATGTTAATTTATTAGGATTATGTCAATGGTATTGTTAATATTAATATAATATGTTTTTACTATGTATATAGATAATATTTAATTTATATCTGTTGATTAACTTTAATCTGATTGATCTTTGGTTTATGTAATCACAGAGTCACAGATAAAGAGTTAATAAGACACACTCAGGAGTAATCCCTGCATGTGAGGTAATGATACTGTCCAATCACTGAGCGGTGATTTGCTGTGATGTCTCACTTATGACACCATTCATTCCAAATGATCACATGCAGAGAGTGAGTTGTGTGTGTGTCTAACATGTGTGTGTTACCCAGCAGGGCCTGGAACAGGTCACTTTGGAAGATGTTCAGCAGTTTTTCAGCGCGACCCTTGACCCCTTCAGCAGCTCCGGCCTGACAGGCCTCCATCGCCTGCAGAGCACGCTCAGTATCTGTGGAGAACAACAAACACAGGATTTACTGGATTTCTTCTGAACAACAATACACTTTAAACACACAGGAACGTCCTCATATAGTAGGTGCAAAGTTGTTTCAGCTTGGACTTCCGAGAAACTTCAACATGAAACAATGTATCAACCAGTCCATACTGCAACACCTCCAAC